AGATGAGCACCACTAAGAAAATGACTAGCACCCCGGACAGCACCCCTAATACTCGTTCTCAATTAGAAACACCATCTGATTTTCATGCTATTGACTCCCTTGCTTTTCTTTAACATGTACATGTGACCCTAGACTGATACAGCTTAGTTTGGACTGTTTTTGAAATTACATCAATGGAATCAAAGAGTATGAATTCTGCTGTGTTTGGCTTTACTTGTTCAATGTTATTTTTTTTTTGGTTTTTATTTTTTAATCAAAGCTATATTGAGATATGATTTACATATCATACAACTCACCCATTTAAGATGTACAATTTTGTGGGTTTTAGCATATTCACAGATATATGTAACTATCACCACAGTCAATTTTGGAACATTTTCATCACCCCCAAAAGAAACTCATGCCCTTGAGCTATCATTTCTCATTCTGCCATGACCCCCCTCACCTACTTTCTGTACCTATAGATTTTCCTATTCTGATGTTTCCTACAAGTGCACTCAATATAACATGGTATTTTGTGACTAGCTTCTTTCACTGAGCATAATGTTTTTAAGGTTGTAGCATGTACCAACACATTGTTCCTTTTTATGGCTGAATACTATTCCATTGCATATGGAATATATGATGAACATTTAGATTGTTTCCACCCTTCAGCTATTATGAATAATGCTTCCAAAAACATTTGTGTATACATTTTTGTGTGGAAATATGTTTTCATTTTATTTTGGTATGTTTTCGTTTCTCTTAGTATACACCTCAGAGTGGATTTGCTGGCTCATGTGGTTAACTCTGTTTAACTGTTTAAGGCACTGCCAGACTGTCTCCTGAAGTGGCTGCACTGATTTACAATACCATCAGCAATGTGTGCAGGTGTTGATTTCCCCACATCCTGACAATACCTGCCTGCTTTCTTCCCAGTCTGTGGTTCACCTTTTCCTGTTTCCTTGCATGATTTAGGATTTTTTGTTGGAAATTGAAGATCCTTATTAATATATTGTAACAACTTCGTACTGGCGCACCCCCTCCAGAGTCGGTGAATTGCTTTTTTGCTTCTTTAGTGATTGGCTGGATTCTTTTAGTCAAGTCCATCCTCTGCTTCCCATACCAGGAGTATAAAGGACCTCTGTGACTGGTCCGCAGGAGTGCAGCTGTTTGCATGCCAGCAGTCCCCTGCGATGACTGGTTTGGGCAGGGCTGTGTGTGACTCCTTCCCTGACCATCCCCAGCTGTTACACTCCACTCATTGCCAGCTGAGTTCTCTATTGTTTTCTTTTTTTCTTTTTTCTTTTTTATTAAGGTATTATTGATATACATTCTTAAAAAGGTTTCACATGAAAAAACAATGTGGTTACTACACTGTCCCATATTATCGAGTCCCCCCCACACCCCAATGCAGTCACTGTCCATCAGTGTAGTGAGATGCCACAGATTCACTATTTGCCTTCTCTGTGCCACACTGTTCTCCCCGTGATCCCCCACACCATGTGTACTAAACATAATACCCCTCAGTCCCCTTCTCCCTCCGTCCCCACCCGCCCTCCCCCACCCCTCCCCTTTGGTAACCACTAGTTCCTTCTTGGAGTCTGTGAGTCTGCTGCTATTTTGTTCCTTCAGTTTTGTTTCGTTGTTATGCTCCACAAATGAGGGAAATCATTTGGCATTTGTCTTTCTCTGCCACTGAGCATAATGTCCTCCAGCTCTATCCATGTTGTTGCAAATGGGAGGATTTGTTACTTTCTTATGGCTGAATAGTATTCCATTGTGTATATATGTACCACATCTTCTTTATCCATTCATCTACTCATGGACACTAAGGTTGCTTCCATATCTTAGCTATTGTAAAAAGTGCTGCAATAAACATAGGGTGCAGATGTCTTTTTGAATATGAGAAGTTGTATTCTTTGGATAAATTCCAAGGAGTGGGATTCCCGGGTCAAATGGCATTTCTATTTTTAGTTTTTTGAGGAACCTCCATATTGCTTTCCACAATGGTTGAACTAGCTTACATTCTTACCAGCATTGCAGGAGGGTTCCCCTTTCTCCGCATCCTCGCCAGCATTTGTTGTTCTTAGTCTTTTCGTTGCTGGCCATCCTCACTGGTGTGAGGTGATATCTCATTGTGGTTTTAATTTGCATTTCCCTGACTATTAGTGATGTGGAGCATCTTTTCATGTGTCTGTTGGCCATCTGAATTTCTTCTTTGGAGAACTGTCTCTTCATATCCTCTGCCCATTTATTAATCAGGTTATTTGCTTTTTGCGTTTGAGGCGTTTAAGTTCTTTATATATTTTGGATGTGAACCCCTTGTCGGATATGTCATTTACAAATATATTCTCCCAGGCTGTAGGATGCCTTTTTGTGCTGTTGATGGTGTCCTTTGCCATACAGAAACTTAGTTTGATATAGTCCCATGAGTTCATTTTTGCTTTTGTTTCCCTTGCTCGAGGATGTCTCTATTGTTTTCAGCGATGTCTTAGGACATACATTGCTCCATAAACTGATCCAATCAAATCCAGGCTCTTGAAGGAATACATTTTGGATTCCTAAATCTATGGTAGGGTTCTGTCATTTCCTAGCCCCCATCCCCTGCAATGAGGCCTCAGAGATGGAGCCCAGCAAGGAATTCTTCCTTCTCACCTCGTCTCTTAGCCCAGAGCTTTTAGTTTGTTGCTTTTAGTTTGTTTTGTTGTTTTCAACATCCTTTCTCAACTAGATACACAAATATGCTTCCAAACTGTTCATGTCAGCCCCTCATCTTCAGGCACTTGAACCCAAGTATTGAAGAAATAAAAGTACCTTGTTCTTTTCTTTCTTGCCTTTTTGTTTTTTTTAAAGCAATAGGGTCAAGATCTAGATTGAGGAAAGGGGAGGGGCTGAACAAAGGAATTTCAGACATCCCACCACAGGTAGGCATTTTTATTATTCCCATTGTATAAATAATAAAATTGAGGCCTAGAGAGATTAAGAAGCTGGAGTGGTTGGGACAGGGCACAATATTTAGAGCCAGAAGCAAGGCTGGCATGTGGGCATCTATGTCTGCTGGTGGTGTCCCAACTCTCTCTCTCTCCCTACTGGTACAATGCTGGGACCAGGCCCACCCCACGCTCTCCAAGGTCCCTGTGCTCCATCTGGACAGGTCCACTAAGCAGCTCAGATCCCAGTGCTGTACCACAGGATAAATCTCTGCCTCATATGGCAAATCCTGGAATCCCGTTTGGCCTTTCCTCCCTGCAGTCTGGTGTTAGGTGGTATAGCCCTGGAGTTCTGTCTGATCAAATCTCAGCTCCAACCTTGTCTGGCTGTGTGCCTTGGGGCAAGTATCCACCCCTCCACCTCCAGCACCACCCCCCACCCCAAGCCTCAGTTTCCTCATCTGTAAACTGGGATTCTAATAGTAATTATGCATGCGTTCACTGAGGGTCCGCTTTGGTGGGCAGTGTCCTAGAAACTGGAAGTGCAAAGGGTAGTGAGACTGTCCCAGTGTCCCTATGTACCACTGGGCTGTGCATACCTGGCATGGAGGTGGGCATACTGTAGGCATTCAGGAATGGAAGCTGGCCTCCTATGCAGAATTTTTATAGTCAGCTGCTGCCAGCCCAACAATGCAGACTGCTCTGTCCTCTCTCAGGGAGTTTCTCTTTGATTAATGAGTGCCTTTGTCCCTAAAGGATATGCCGTCGGCTACTTTCTTATGTCAGCTGGTTCCTGGGGCCCAGAACAGTTGGCAAAGCAGTTGGTATCTTGGACTATTTTTAGGTGGGGAGTTAGTGGGGTGTGTGGACGTTTGGAGCTCAGGGGGAGTCTCAGAAACTGAGAACTTCATAAGCAACAAGGTAGGGGAAGGGGAAGGATACTTCCTCTCAGGAATGTGTGGGCAAACTTTCACTTATCTTTCATGACTGGGGCCAAAAATCACCTCCTCTGTGCAGCCTTCCTGGATTACCTCAGTGAAATACACACTTCCAAGACACGGGTTAAGGGTCCACCCTCTGGGCCTCCCCTCCCTCTTGGTTATAGTTCCAAACAGACTAAGAGATAATAAACTGTAGAGATCTTATCCGATGCACATCTGAGCCCCCTCCTGCCAACCCTAGTCATAACAAGATACAGAAGTTAGGGTCCCGACTTTGTAGTTAGATATCTAAGTTCCACTCTTGACCCCTTTCTAGCAAAATAACCATGACCAAGTCAGGTTCGTAAATCTGTTTTCTCATCTGTAAAACGATTGTCGTGCCTGCCTCCCAGGAATTATTTGAGCAAACTAAGCTCAAGGCAGAGCGTACAGCACCTGGCACAGACTTACGGACCTCTCGCAAGCCCAGGCCCGAAAGGGGCTGCAGGCCCCCGAGGTCTCCGCCCCCTTTGTGTTATCTCGGGTGGTGTGTGCGTGCCGGCGGGAAGGACTGAGGTATTTATTCCTGAACAGCTGGGGTCCCAGAGCAAGCCGGAGGTCAACCAGCTGCGGCGTATCCGGGCTGGAAGATGGGTGCTCGCCTCCAGTCAATCGCCGCAGCTTTTCTCGCCCTGCGCACGCACGCCCCCACCTTCGCCTCCCCTAGTGTTTCCCTTCTCTCTCTTCTGCCCGCCCCCGCTAATCTCCTCCACTAATTCCGCAGCTTCCCTCAGGTGGGAGGCGGTGTCTCAGGAGGTAGGTAGAGAGCCCCCAGCCTAAGGTGGGGGAGGGAGCGCCCAGGTCTCCGGGAGAACCCGGAAGTCCCCAGATATGTGGGCGGGGTCTGGGAGCCCAAACTGGGGGAGGGGTCTTGTAGACTACAGAGGAGTCCCCAAACCAGCGAAGAAGCGCGAGGGAATTCCTGAGACAGTGGCGGGCGGGGCTTCGTATGACCTGGGGCGTGGTCAACTGAGGGGCGTGGTCTCCCGAGAAGGAGGTGGGGTTCCGTCGACCAGGACTGTTAGCCGCAAGGGGCGGAGTCTCAGGTGGGGCGGGATTCGCCTGGGGGCGGGGAAACGGGGCGGGGCATAGAGACAGTAGGTGGAGCGTGGCGGGTGGCGGGTGGTGCTCGTCCCCCTCCCCAGGCCCCGGGTGTCCCCGTGACGAGGCAGCGCGGAACCGCCGCGGGCCGGGCCCATCCCGCCGCAGCGGCCCCGGGGCCGAGCAGGCGCAAGGCGCAGAGGGAGCAGCGCCGAGCGGGGTAGGAGCGCCGCCAGGTAAGGCCACTTGGGCGCAGGGGGCGGGGGCTGTGCCGGGCGGGCCCTGACGGGCGCGGGGGGCGTGTTTGCGCGTCTGAGAGTGGCTGGGGGAGTGGGTCCGAGGGCGGGCGTCTGTGGCTGCGCGCTGGCGCCTGCCGTCGCGGGTCCGGGGTGGGCTCTGCGCCTGTCCGGGCGCTGCCCACCGGGTCCCGGTGTGCGGGACTGTGTGCGCGCGCGCGTGTGTGGAGGGGCCGCCGGGTGTGTATCTGCGTATGCGCTGGGCCATCGTCGTGCCTCTCCGGCGCGCGGGGCGCGGGCCTGCCCCGGCGCAATCCCTCCTGCGCGGGGATGTTTTCCAAAACAGCCTTCCTGCGGTGACGGGCTCTGCTGCAGCCGGAGTCGGAGGGGGGAGCGCCGCCCCCATAGGCCTCCAGAGACCCGGGGACTGCAGACAGACACCTGGGGGAGGGAGGGAGCGCGCACCGGGAGAGGTCCAGAGGCTCGCCCGCAGGGCCAAAATGGGGAGACTGAGGCAGATGGATGGGGAGCGGGAGGGGGCCAGACAGGCGGAGATGGGAAGAAGGGTGGTAAGACAGACGGCGAAAGGGAGAGCAGCAGAGAGGACAGAGTCATTGGAAAGAAGAGAGACAGAGGCCTAGACCTGCAAAGGGGCAGACAGGTTAAGATAAACAAATAGATTTCAAGAACCTGACAGAAGGATTACTCAGAGGTCCTGGGGCTGAGAGCTAAACACAGGAACTGAGTCTGAGATGAGGAGTAAGGGCCCCCAATTCCTGGGGTGCACCTCTTCCAAGCACATCCCTGACTGGGTTCCTGGTCAAAAGGAAGCCTCTGGCCACCCTAGGTTGTACATCCCTCTGGTCCATTGTGCAGCCCCCCTCTTGGTTCCATCCCACCCGTCTTCTATCCCTGGTATCTCAGCAACCCTGGGCAATTTAAGAGAGGCGGAGGTGAACCGGTTGCCATGGCAGCAGAGGTGGTAAAAGGTCATTCTGGCTTTAGCCTAGGTGGCCCTGCGGCAGGCCAGAGATGGCCTTGAGGAGGGCTGCGGTGGGAGGCTGCAGAATTATTTTTTTCCTCTCCCACTTTGCCCAGAATGGTGCTGGAAGGGAACCCTGAAGTGGGGTCCCCACGAACCTCAGACCTCCAGCATTCTGGGAACCAGAGCTCTTGTGTCCTTTCTTCTGGTGAAGATGCACAGCCAGGCGAGGAGCCCATCAAGTATGGTGAACTCATCGTCTTGGGGTGAGCATCCCTGGTCCAGGTGGGGCAGGGCACCAGGCACCCCCCAGGGCAGCCAGACCAAGGGCCCCAGCCCTCCCCATGTATGACCTCCTCTTTGTCCTTCCTCACCTTCTTGACTGAGAGACAGAGTTGATCAAACCTACTTCAATTCATAGTTGTTATCTTCCTATTTTTCATAAATTACTGAGACAGCTCTAACTGCCTAAGTTTCTGATCAGAAAAGGTAACACCAGTGCCTTTCATAGAGCACCTAGTGTGTGTAGTCTGGGGTGGAGAACCAGGGTGAAGAACTCTGGTTCTCCAGAAAAATTGCTTGGTTCAAATCCTACCTCTGCAAGTTGCTTAACTTCCTGTGCCTCCATTTTCCCATTTTATAAATAGGAATGATAATAATAATTCCTCAGAGGGTTGTTGGAAGGAATCAATGAGGTGATTTCTGTAAAGCACATAGAACAATGCCTGGCACATATCAAGTGTTCTGGGAGGCAGGCCTGTGCCAAGCCCTTTCATGGTCATTATTTCATTTCAATCTTCACAAAGATGCTGTGAGGAAGGAGGTGAGGAAACCGAGGCTCAGAGAGGGGAAGTGACTGGTCCAAGGGCACGCAGCTGGTAAGTGGCAGGGCTGGGATTTGGACCCAGGTCTTTCTTACTCTAGGTCTAGTATGCTTTCACTAAGCCACAGCTGACCCTCACACTACACACGAGAAAACTGAGGCCAGGATAGAGGAAGCGATGTGTTGGTAGCTGGGTAGACCTAATTCCTTGTGGTCTTTGCCTGGCCATGATCTCTGCACCACCCACTTAGCTCTTCCACCAGGCACAGGCTCCTCTTCTTCCTCCCTATCCATACCTCTTTTTGGCCTCTCTCTGCCATGTGCCCTGAAGAAAATATCCAATAAGCTATGTTATCACTATGACAATTATTTAGAAATAATAATGGCCACTGTTGACATATTCATGTCATATGCTTTTAAAAAAAGATAATAGCTAAACTAAGATTTGCTATACATAAACTCTGTGCCAAGCATTTTTAAATGCTTTAATCTCATTTGGTTCTCACAGTGGACCTGCAAGGTAGGTCCTGACAAATTAGCCCCATTTTACAGAGGTCACATAATAAGTAGAAGAGTCAGGAGATAAGCCAGGCCCATCTGAACCCCTAGCCTATGTCTGGAACAGCTCCACCCCCTAGATGTGGGAGGAACTTAGAAGGGCAAACATGATGCCTTTCTGGGGAAGCTTGCGGTAGAAGAGCAGCTGTCCCACAGGAAGGGCTGGCTTTCCTGTTGACGGTGAGACCACTGATCGGGGAGAGTGTAGACCCAAGGGTACAGGCCTTCTTGAAAGCCCTTCATTCTCTGCAGAGCAGTGAAGCTGTTGTGTACATTAGAGCCGCCTGGAGAGTGCATTGAAAATACCCATTGACGGGCCCACCCCAAACCTACAGAATTAGAATCTCCATGTGTGGGGCCAGGGAATCTGTATTTTAACAAGCTTGCCAGAAAATTCTGATTCAAGTAGTCCTTGTCTAGATTTGGCAGCTGTTCATCCTTGTCACTCCCTGCTCCACAACCATCTGTGGCTCCCTGCTGCTTACAGAATGAAGTGCAGCCTCCCTCCACCTGGTGTTTAGGGCCCTTCCACCAGCTTCATCTGCCCCTAGTGCACTGCACCATCCAAGTCACTGCTTCCTGATTTCATCAAACCCCTAGACCTAGAGTGGGGTCTTTGCTCAGGGTAAGCCCTCCATCTAACAGGGCTTCTGCAAGACAGGCTGGAGTCAGACCCGAGTTCAAATCTAGGCTTTTCCACTTACAAGCCTGGAACCTCAGGCAAGTTATTTTATCTCCCTGAGCCTCGATTTTCCTCATTCATAAAATGGGAAGAAAGATACTTACCTGGCAGGACATTGCACAGATTCCATTAGGTAATTAATAATGTGAAGCACCAGGAACACAGGAGGCTCCAGTACATGGCAGAGAACAAGGCTATATGACTCATCCCATCTTTGCCTTCCGCAACCATTCCCTCCGGATAAGAGCTGGAAGGAAGGTAGAAATTTGACATGTATGGATATATGGAGGTAGTGGCATTGTGTGTCTATTTTTTCCTTTCATTCTGGTTTCCAGTAGTACTTGTAGTATAGTAAATGATAGTTTGCTAAAAGTGAATCCTTTCCAGTTCTTCAAGGCCCAGGATAGTTGTTCCCTCTCCTAGAAACCTGATCGTGGGGCAGAATTCCTTTCTATTATCTCCAGGTTTAGGATACAATTGACTTGTGCCTGGGTCATGGCATGTGGCACCCAGGTTCCTTGAAAAGCTGAGGATCCCCTTCCCCAACCATTGAGGACACAGAACTGACCTTCCATGCATCATCTATGTGACCCCAGCACCCAGCACCTGGTCAGCTATAGCTCAGGTGTCCAGGAAACACTGGTTAATTGAATGAAGGGCCTTTTGAAGATGTTCTGACCCCCACCCCATTCCCCCAAAACACTGATTTGATGTAGTAGAGTCTTCTGGTTTGGGGTGGTTCCAGGGCTTGTTTATTAAGGTACATTCTGCCCAGAGATTGGCACTTCTTCCAAGTCTCTCAAGGGCTCACTTCCTCTCTCTCCCTGCATCCCTTTTTTTAACCCCCATATCCACAGCTACAATGGATGTCTGGCAAATGGGGACAAGGGCCGCCGGCGAAGCCGCCTGGCACTGAGCCGCCGGCCACATGCCAATGGAGTGAAGCCGGACGTCATGCACCACATCTCCACACCACTCGTATCCAAGGCAAGCAGCTTGTCCCAGCAGACCTGGCGCTCATCCTGCCCTCCCTGCTTATGTCTCAGCTTTCAACCTTCCCAGTCCACCCTGCCCACAGCACTGGAGCAGGGAGCCCTCTGTGTCTTTACCCACTACCTTGGGCACCAGAAATGGTGCTGATGGGAGACCCCTTGCAGTGTACATGGTGCTACAGTTTGTAAAGTGTTTCCTTAACAACCAGACCACATCCATTGGGTGGAAACAATGAGGATCATTTAGAGGTAGCCAAGGCTCAGAGAAGGATGTGGCAGTCACACAGCAATGGCAAAGGAAAAGACTTTGGCTTTAGAGATTTGGGTTAGAATTTGGGCTCTGCTGTTTCCAGCTGTGTGACTTTAAGCCAGTTTCTTCTCTCCTGGCTGTGGTTCCCTCAACCATAAAATGGGAATGATAACTATGCCTCCTTGGGGTGGATGTAGGGATCAAAGAAGGTAACTGTGTAAAGCACTGCCCCTTTCCTGGAAGTGACCACTGGGCCTTGGGCTCTAGCTTCTGGCTCAGAGGCTCACATTTCAGGCCACATACCCTGGGAAGTGACTTTTCCTTTCTCCTCCCCAGGCCCTGAGTAACCGTGGCCAGCACAGTATCTCATACACACTATCTCGGAGCCACTCGGTCATAGTCGAGTACACTCATGACAGCGACACAGACATGTTCCAGGTATGCTCAGGCCCCTCCACAAGTCTCTGGTCCCTGGGCCACCAGGCCTTGACACAGCTCTGCAGGCATTGCAGGGTGAGCCTGAAGAACCAACGGCCATGTGGAAGGGGCTTGAGGGCCACTCAGTGCAGGTGACTACTTGTCAGGTGAGGAAGCAGGATGTCCCAGCAAGGACTGTTGACCTGGAGTCACACAGCAAGTCAGCGGCTGTATCGAGATTCAAAACCCAGGACCAGACACTCAGGTTGCAGGAGGCCACAGAGCTTAGGGGTTCAGAGTGCTGCGTGAGAGTCATACTGCCTCCATCCCTTACTAGCTGGGTGACTCTGACCACAGAAACTTAACCTCTCTGGTTCTCAATTTCCTCCTCTGTGAAGTGGACCCATAATAGTATCCACCGCATGGAATGGTTGGGAAGATGAACTGAGATATTGTACATAAAATGCTTAGCATGGTATATATAAATATTTGCAAAAATTCATTCTTTGCTGCTAGTATTTGAGCACTCCCAGACCATGGGTATCACCTTTTCACTGTTCTGTCAGCAAATGAACTAGTTATTATTGAGTGGGGTACTTCCCAGAGCTGTAGGGGAGACAGAGAAGGAGTCCCAGACCCTGGTGTTTGGGCTTGGAGACTCCAGCTGGGACCTCAGAGGAGCTGGGGAGTTGGGATAGTGCTGCACCCCCCTCAGTGTTTGGTGACCCTGCATGCAGAGTTTTCCTGGGGTGGGCAGCCCATGGCATTGACCTGTGCACAGCATCCTGTGCTTGTGCTCCCCTTCCTCACAGATCGGTCGCTCCACGGAGAACATGATTGACTTTGTGGTAACAGACACATCCCCTGGAGGAGGGGCTGCTGAGGGCCCCTCTGCCCAGAGCACCATCTCCCGCTATGCCTGCCGCATCCTCTGTGACCGACGGCCACCCTATACTGCCCGCATCTATGCCGCTGGCTTTGATGCCTCCAGCAACATCTTCCTTGGAGTGAGTGAGCCCCCACGCAGGGACCAGCACTTCATCTGAGAGTGAGCCTAAGGGTAGGGCGAGGGGGCCATTGTCCTGGAGAGATGGACCAGTCTGTAGTAATCGTAACTCTGACCTGTGCAGGGATTAGCAACCCCACTTAACAAATGAGCAGAGAGGTCAGGTGATGCCCAAGGTCATGCAGTGCCAATTCCACAATTCCAGTTCTCTCTGGGCCATCTCTGACCTTGAGGGTAGAGGGGCAGCATCCCTGGCTTGCAGCCTGTTCAGGGCTATCTGGCGATATGATCTGATCCCACATGTGGTCCCAGGAGCGGGCGGCCAAATGGCGGACCCCTGACGGCCTGATGGACGGCTTAACCACCAATGGGGTCCTGGTGATGCACCCAGCAGGCGGCTTCTCTGAGGACTCGGCCCCAGGTGTCTGGCGAGAGATCTCAGTCTGTGGGAATGTGTATACCTTGAGGGACAGCCGCTCAGCACAGCAGCGGGGGAAGCTGGTAGGTGGCCTGCTCCACTCCCTGCCCACCCCTCATCCTTCCTGGGCCCGCCAATCTGCCTTTCCCACTGCCCAAGCCAGGAGATGATCCCCAGGCCTCTTGCCCAAGGGAGCCCCAACAGGCTCCATCTAGGGGCATGTGCCACTTGCCCTACATGAGCACCAGACCAGTGTCCCCAAGCATAGCCTACATGTGGCTGGTGGTCCACAGGGTAATGGCAAGTACAGCACAGAAACCCATTGTGCAGTACTAAGTGGCTTTAAGGATGCAGCAGCTTACAAAATCACACCCTCTTATGAGGGTGACACTTGGCCTAGGTGTGAGCAGTTATAGCCTCAAGTGTTGGCAGTTTGTGATGTCTGTCCCGTTCAGACAGGTTTAGCTTATTATGCTCTTCCAGTGGGAAAGGGTGTAGTTCCCACAGGTGACAGTAAATGTGCCACATGATACAGATCAGAGAACTGCTAGGAGCTAGGAGAGATCCTAGAGGGAGGGAGGGGCTTGTTCAGGGTCATGTGGCCAAACTCGTCAAACGGGCCCCCACAGGGCTCTTCCTGTAGATGAGTTGGGACAGGAGATGCAAGACCTCAGGGAAAAACGTGGCTTATCTTTCGAGAGCATCAATTCTACTCAGGATATTTGGGGAAACATTATTTTTTAAAAATCATGCACGTGAATGTTTGACTAGCATGCATGTGTTGAACACCTGACTTCCAGGCACTGGTCCAAGTGTTTACATTGATTGATTCATGAGAACCAGTTGAAATACTGGGAAGTGGAATCCATCTTGAGGAATAAGGCCATTGAGGCACAGGGAGGTTGAGCTACTCTACCAGGGACACAGAGTCAGTAACGAGAGAGGCCAGGATCCACACCCAGGCAGTCTAGCTCTCTAGTCCTTGCTTTTAACCCGGGGACAGCTGCTTTGGGCTGAGTCCTCAGTGTTTCAGATGGAAGGGTTCCTACCTCAGCTATTAGGGGAGAGCCTGGGAAAATGTTTTAGAAAAACCTCATATTGGCCCAGACCTTCTGATCTGAGAGGGAGGGACTGGTGTGGGCCTGGGAGCACCTGCCGGCCCTCCCACCTGGCTTGTCAGCCCTCCCCGCTCCTCTATCCCAGCCCGCCCCACCCAACCAGAGTGCCATCTCCAGGGAGGTTCAGTGGGATGGATGGGTAGCCTGGCTGGGGTGATGGCTGCCCAACGGCAGGGTGTTCAGGGGCTTCTTGGCAGTAAGGCCCTTCTGCTGCCCCTGGCAGGTGGAAAACGAGTCCAACATGCTTCAGGACGGCTCCCTCATCGACCTGTGTGGGGCTACGCTGCTGTGGCGCACACCAGCAGGGCTGCTGCGGGCACCCACGCTGAAGCAGCTAGAAGCCCAGAGGCAGGAGGCAAATGCGGCGCGGCCCCAGTGCCCTGTGGGCCTCAGCACCCTGGCCTTCCCCAGTCCGGCGCGTGGCCGCACAGCACCTGACAAGCAGCAGCCGTGGGTCTACGTCCGTTGCGGCCACGTTCATGGCTATCATGGCTGGGGCTGCCGGCGAGAGCGGGGACCCCAGGAGCGAGAGTGTCCTCTTTGTCGCCTTGTGGGGCCTTATGTGCCCCTGTGGCTTGGCCAAGAGGCTGGCCTCTGCCTGGACCCTGGGCCGCCCAGCCATGCCTTTGCGCCCTGTGGCCATGTCTGCTCTGAGAAAACTGCCCGCTACTGGGCCCAGACACCACTGCCCCACGGCACACACGCTTTCCATGCTGCCTGCCCCTTTTGTGGGGCCTGGCTCACTGGTGAGCATGGCTGCGTCCGCCTCATTTTCCAGGGGCCACTGGACTAGGCTTCCTGGGGCCCCCTGCTGCTGTGCCCACCTGCCCACCCAGGTCCCCCACCTCCTGCAGTCCAGAGGGAGCTCTGCATGTGGGACTCTACCTGCTGGCATGTAGCCACACCACATGGACATGTTGGATGGGCTGTGCCCCTCCCCTCTTTAACTCTGGCCCCCATAACCCCTGCCCCAGTCAGAATAATGGGGCCCTCAGCACCAGCTGTCCTGGGCTTATAGAGGGAAATCCACTCCCATGCCCCACCCTTCCTGGGGCACCCCTCATCATGCCGCCTCACTGTGCCCCTGGGGGAGTGAAGTGGCCATGGGCTTCTGACCTCCAGCTTAGGTTGGCTGTGCCTGAGCCTGCCAATCCAGTTGAAGATACTCACCCTGCTGTGCCCTGGGTTCCTCTATAAACCTTGCTGCTCAGCTGCCCTCACAAATCCCATGTGTTCCTGCATGTGTGCAATGTCTCCAGCCCCCAAGCAAGCGAGCGAGTGACAGATGTGCGGCGGGCTGGGACCTGAATCTGACACCCATTGTGCGCTGTGGGTATCACGGACTCTATGCCACGTGGGCTCTGGGGACAGACACAGTCAGACCTGGTTCCCTGCCTGGTGGAATTCACAGTCGGGTAGACAACAGACGAAATTACCTAATGACAGCACGGCTTCCTGTGTGCCAGGATCAGAGAGTTACTGGGCTGTGGAGCAGGTTGCACTGGCAGGTGGCCAAGTGAGGGAAGCGTCACTGAGAAGGTGGCATAGGAGCTGAGCTGCTGTGGCTGTGTCAGAATCCCCCACAGGAAGGGGCAGGTGTTCTAGGCAGAAGGGAGGCTGAGCACAAGCTCAGGTGGCAGTCAGCAGGGGACTGAGGGAGGGGTTCTGAGTGGCTAGAAGAGGGGTTGCAGGGGCAGGAAGGAGGTGGGGCTGTGCTAACGGAACATGCTGGATGGAGGATTTAGAATTTCATTTGTGGGCAGTCAAGAGTCAAGGGAGGAGAGAAGATGCGCAGTTCCAGAGTGTTGGCTGTGACACAAGGGCTACTATTACCCAATGCCCACCGTGTGCCCCACATTGTGCTAATGATAATGACTGTTCACTGAGCACTCACCAGGCACCGGGCTCTGCTTCTCTGAGGTTTTTTTATTTCATGCTCACAGTGCCCCAGGGAGGGAGGTGTTACTATTTCTGTTTACAGGGAGGCTAAGGCACATGCTCCAAGTCACACAGCTAGGAAATAGCCAAGTCAGGACTCAGATCCACAGCTGCCTGCCTGGCTGTGAGCCTGCCCTCATCTCCCATCCTTATCCACTGCGCTGTTCTCCTTGGACAGGAGTGGGAGGACTTGGGAGGACCTCCCAGGTAAGGGGAACAACATGTGCAGAGGTGTGGCAGGGAAAAGGCTCGATGACCAATGAGGCAGGTGTAGAGGGGGCAGAAAAGTGGGATGAGGGGTGGGGATGCTGGACTGGGACTAGTGGGCCTTAATTGCTATGGAAGCCAAGTCTGAACTTGGCTTATTCATCTTGGTCAAGCATCAGTTCTCCTGGAGAGCCAGGGCAAGCTTCAGGGTGCTGCTGGGGTTGTTCCCAGACTATTCCTCGGGGGAATGAGCTAGAAAGGTAGGTAGACAGAGATTCTGGGAATACAAAATCAAAGGAAGGGGCTCTGGGTACAAACTTGATGAGGGTATCATCCCCAGTGGAAGACAGCTGCCTTACAAGTTCAGGTTCCAAGGGGAGGGACCTGCCCCCAGCCACACAGCTGGTTGGGGCCACAGAGACCAGACCTGGGGCTGCTGAGAGGATAGAGGGCACCTGAGGTAGGGGGCTGTGATCATATTCTTGCTTCTAAGAACATCACACTGCCACAGTGCGGGAGCCACATGGGGATGCTGGGTGGATGTGGGAGTTCTGCATGCGCACATGCACAAAACCAGTAGGAACCCAACTCTTCTGGTTTCTCTCTCTTCTGATTCTTGGGAACCAGGTAGGGGAACATTCCAATCTCATTTTTAGCAGAGAACCTCAGACGACTTTGGGAAGAGAGACAAAGGGCACAGGCACCACCCCAGGGAGAACTCAGAGGTGGTGGTGGAGTGGGTCAGACACCCCTGGTTTTGGCCCAGGTCAGCCCCTTCCCAGCTCATGGATCCTCAGTCTCCTCAGCTGTTAAATGGTTTAACAATCCCTGTCACCAGGTGGTTGTGAAACATAAGGGGGCACATGTAGCTCAGTAGGCACTTCACTCCCTTAACCTACCCCGTTTCATTCCAGTGGGTAAGAGCGAAGGTTGGGGACGGTCATGACTCCAGTGAGCAGTGAGTGAACTGCTCTGTATGATTGTGTGTGCTGGGGCAGGTGGAGGGGACAGTGTGGTGGAAGGTCTGAGTAAGGCCAGTAAGGAAGGGTAAAATAATATCCTATCTCAGGTTTTTTGCAAGAGTGAAATGGGAGATCCTCCATGTCAGGCTGCTAGCCCAGGACCTTGTAATAGCCGAAGTGTTTGTATTAGCTGGAACATGCAGCTTGGGTGTCCCAGGAAGTGACTGGGATCTGGCCCTGGCCTGAGCTGCCCACAGGTGGCCAGATAGCATGACCACTTTTACTGGTGTCCATTTCAACTTCACCCAAGTCAAAGAAGACTATAAACTTTTTAAAAAGACAATGAAAATTGATACACTGGGAAGAAGAGGGGTAGACTTTCCTGATCAATTTATTGAGCTCCTCCTTGTAATGGTAATCATCAGAGCTAACAGTAGCAACGTTGTGTCAAGCAGGGCCTTGGGCACCTTTGTAAATGAAAAACTGGCACCTTTGGTGGGCAGATGCTGTCCTGGGTCTAGGCACAGGTGTGGCAAAAAGCATGGCAAGAAGTGTGTGGATTTTAGGTATCCCCTCTCTGCACAACCCTAAAGGGCAGCACTGCCCAGTCAACGCTTAAGCCTACAATATTGCTCCTAGTTGAGACAGTGGTAAGCCCAGTTTCCCAGTTGAGGAAGCCCAGACTCTGGTAAAGTGATCCATCCAAGGCCACACAGCCAGCAGTGTGGCTCTGCCAACATTCTGACCTAGCCAGCAACAGGCACTTTCCACATGCTATGCCCAATCCAGGTGGGTCCTCTTGTGAGACCACAAGACATGCAAGAGGACCTCAAGCCCCGGATCCGCCCTGGGCACTCTTGGGGGTCTCAGGTGGCTTTCTCATTAGGCGCCCAGCAAGCACCAAGAAACTGCCAGGCCCCTCACCCCTTTGTGCTGAGAAAACTGAGGTTCGGGGATGTTTAGCGGCCTCCTCCCAGGCTTCCAGCGAGTCGGTAGCGGTGCAGTGAAGCACTCGGAGGCGGTCCTCCGTGCCAGCTCACGGGTGAGGCCACCTCATGCTGGGCCGGCCCGGTAGCCTGGAGCGTTGCAGTCTCCGAGGAGTCTCCACCCGCAGGCCCTCGAATCCCGCCACATTACCCACTCTGCAGGTTCCCACCTGAAAAACTGAGGTCGGGGGCCTCCGAAAGACCCAAAGGAGAGCAGGTCGAGGATCTGTGGGGAAGCCGCTGGTGCTCTGTTCAGACACCACTCCACCCCTCCTGGACTCGGGGAGCCTTGTCAGCCCCGTCTACAGGGACTAGGCCGCAGCCAGACCAGCCACTCCAGTTCCTGGCCCAGGAGCGAGCGCAGCTGGAGGACAAAAGCCCAAGGCCACAGGGGACATTCTGCGCGGGAGCCCGTTGCGCCTGGAGGCGGGGAACCGGCAAGCCGATGGAGCTTGCTTCGGCGCGCCTATTGGCTGGAGCCCATGCCCATCCAGGTCCCGATGCCCGACAATTGGCCCGTGGGGGCGGAGTTCACGGAGCCCCAATGAATGGGGGAGCCGGAAGCAGGAAGTGAGTTTGCGATCGGAGCAGCTGCTGCAGGTGAGGCGCGGTGCCCGGGTTTCGGGGTCACAGTGTATCATCCTCAGGGGATAGGGCGAGTCTGGACCGAGTGCAAGATCATTCCCTTTCTGTCCCCCATCCAGTACTCCTTCCAATTTCATCGCGGCCCCAAGGCAAAGGAACGCTCCGGGCAGCAAAGGGTTAACATACCTTTCAGAACCCCGGGGATTCTGTGCTATTGGGGCGGAGCTTCGGGAATGTCCGGGGAAGCTGAAAACTTCCCAGAAAGGGCAGTGTGGAGAATGCCCTGGGTGGGGAGACCCCCTGGTCCCAACGGGGCTGTGACACTTAGGTAAGTTGCTTAGTCTCTTTAAGCCTCAGTCTCCCTATCTGAAAAGTGAATTGGCTTCAAGCGCTGAACTGTGGCTCTGTAGCTTCTCGGGTCCAGCACGGGGAGAGGGTAGGAGGATGGATGGTCAAAGCAAAGGCGGAGGGATGAGAATGGGACAGATTGCACACCCATCTGGTGAGGCTATTACCCCCATTTTAAAGAGGTGGAAGCTGAGGCACAGAAAAGTGAAACCATTGACTTGATTTTGAGTCTGAGTCAGTCTGAGGCTGAGCCAGGATTGGAACCTAGCCCTTCCATTTGGTAAACTGGGACTCTGTCCTCGTGAACACTGTGGTGGGCAGAACTGAAGAACCTGCAGGAGAATTCTGGAGAGGAGGCCGAGTGGTCAGAGAAGGAGGATGAGAGACGGAGAGGGGCCTGAGTTTGGAGTCCAGAGATACAGGTCTCTGCTTCTGACTCCTCTCTTGTGTTGTTAGGCAAAGCTCCTAGCCTCTGTGCCTCAGTTTCCCTATCTGTAATACTAGGTGGATTTGATCTTTAAGGCTGAGGGGCCACAGGCCAAATATGGCCCACTAATGTATTTTGTAGTCTCCTTGTCTGAGTCACCTAACCTTCTCTGAGCCTCAGTTATGTATCTTGTGAATGGGTACAAAGGTGTTCCCTTCTTCATGGTCTTCTGGGAGGATTAAACGAGACCATGGGTGTGCAGAGCCAGGTGTGCTGTTGGCGTGTGGTGAATGATGGCTGTGATGATGGTGATGGTTCTCAGCAGGGCCCATGGCGGACACCCAGTACATCCTGCCCAATGACATCGGTGTGTCTAGCCTGGACTGCCGCGAGGCCTTCCGTCTGCTGTCACCCACAGAGCGCCTCTATGCCCATCATCTGTCCCGGGCTGCCTGGTACGGAGGCTTGGCTGTGCTGCTGCAGACCTCCCCTGAGGCCCCCTACATCTATGCCCTGCTCAGCCGCCTCTTCCGTGCGCAGGACCCCGACCAGCTGCGCCAGCATGCCCTGGCTGAGGGCCTTACCGAGGAGGAGTATCAGGTCAGTTCTCTTAGGCTCTCCCATTCCTGAGTGGCTTCTGGCTGTGAGGGGCTGCAAGCAGGGGTACAAAGGTCTTTCTCTTTCTTTGAATTAGATCAGAGGTTACAAATACTGGAACCTTCTCTCCTGAGACCTCAGTCTTCCCATCTGTAAAATAGGCATGAGGATAGTCTGTGCCTCTTAGAGTTGTAGTGACCGACTCCACTGGTGGCTGCTATGAGTAAAGGGAACATCTGTGGAGATTCAGACAGTAGAGGAATGAGCCCAGGGTAGGGATTAGGGAGTCTTAGTTCTGGAACAGATCTTCCTCTACCATGTTGTGTTGTCCCTGGGCAGAATGTTCTGCCTGTCCCCTGGTTTTTGTTTATTTGTGGATCTGTTGGCCAATTAATACTTAAATGCATTCTTAGTACATTGCAACAATGCAGAAAGACACAAGACAAATACGAAGATCACCTATTCTCAGTGTCCTCCTGAGAGGTAACCACTGAGGATGTTTTTTTTAATCCTCTGTGTGTTGCATATATACATGTATATCAGTTCCTCATTTTCTCTTTTATATAAATGATATCGTGCTCTCCATGTTCTTCTGAGCCCTGTTTTTTCACTGAACCCATGGAATTCTTGGAGAATTTCCATGGTGTACATGTAATCCACCTCATTGTTTTGTTTTGTTTTGTTTTTTTGGTTTTTTTTTTTGAGAGGGAATCTCATTTATTGATCAAATGGTTGTTAACAACAATAGAATTCTGTATAGCCACTTCATTGTTTTTTATTGGCTGTGAAGCAGTCCACTGCAGTGCACACTATAATCAATTTAATCTTTTCCTTATTGCTGGACATTTAGATTGTTCCTGATTCTTCTTAGAAACAGTGTCACCATGAGTGTACTTGTGCAAAATTCTGTATAGCCACTTCATTGTTTTTTATTGGCTGTGAAGCAGTCCACTGCAGTGCACACTATAATCAATTTAATCTTTTCCTTATTGCTGGACATTTAGATTGTTCCTGATTCTTCTTAGAAACAGTGTCACCATGAGTGTACTTGTGCAAACGAGAGAGTAGGATCTATTTCTAGAAATAGAATTGCTGGGTCAAACAAAGGCTCTGTACATTTACAAGTGGTTGATGCTGTTAAGTCATCTTCTAAAAATGTTTCACCA